GCCGACAGCGTGCGGGAGCAGGTGAACGACGGTTTTTCCATCGGCGCGGGCTCCGCGGCGGCGGTGGAGCAGCTCGGCATCGGCTCGGGGACGGAGTTGGCGGGCTCGCTGTCCGTGCAGATGGGCGCGCAGACGGAGAACCAGATCGACCAGGAAGACAAGCTCGGGGACTCGCGGGATTCGAAGTGCAGCCATTTCTCTGGGCCGCCCGCCGTGGAGGCGCGCGAGGTGCCGCCCGAGGCCCCCGAGGAGCGGGAGGCGAGCGCGGGGGAGTTCGCGGAGATGGGCTTCGCGCCGGATCCGCAGCCGACGACCAGCAAGAGGTGGGAGGAGGACCTCGACTGAGAGCGGGCTGGTCCCGCTGCCCATGGCGCCCGTCCCAACTTTCCCCCTGCTGGAGGACGGCGCGAGCTGGAAGCGGTCCGCGGTCGGCGCCGGGCGCGGGGCCCCACGGCGCCGACGGCGTCGGCAGTCTGAACGCGGAGTTCGCGCGCTCGGCCGGCGGCGCGGCCGCGGTCGTGGAGGAGCAAGGAGATGCACCACCCGTGGAGGTGCGCTCGGGGGCGGCGACGCTGGCCAAAGGCGACGAGGCGGTGGTCCTCGTGGTTCTTCGCCGGCGTCGCGCAGTGTGCCCGAGGCTCCGCGGCGAGCACCGCGCGGGGCGGCCCGACGAGGAGCTGCGGGTTTCGGAGCCGCGAGCGTGCCGAGGCAGAGCTGGCCGTGCCTCGGCAAGGCCGAGGGCGCGGAGGCCGCGCCGTCGGCGCCGAGTCGCAGGCCCAGGCGCAAGATGGCCCCAAGCTGAGCGGGGTCGCGCGTCGGGCTGCCTTCAGGAGGGGAAAAAACACACAGACACAATTAATCCTCGATTCCCCCAAAAATATGGGAAAATATGGGAAGTGGGGGGGAAGACAAAAACCCAGAAAATATCAGAAAATATGGGGAATCTGTTTATTTGTGTGTATTTATTTGTGTGTTCCAGTTCCCCTTCATGCCTGGTCTTCGTGCTGGGCGTGGCTCGAATTTCTCTGGGGGGGGCCTCGGGGGGCCGCTGGCCTCGCCCGCCCGTCCCCGCGGGGGTGGCCTCGGCCCGCCTGGATTGCCCATCTGGTGATCCAGGCTTGGGCCAATGCCTGTCGGGTCTGCTTCGGGGTCCCCCTCGTCGCTGGGCGCCTGGCTCTGTCGCGAGCGGGCGGCGGCGACTCTTGATTCGACATCTGGGGCCCTGGCGGTCGTCTGCTTGCAGACGGCCGCCAAGGCCTCTTTGATGATGTCCCATCCATCCATCCATCCATCCATCCATCCATCCATCCATCCATCCATCCATCCATCCATCCATCCTCCTCCCCATCCTCCTCCTCATCCTCCTTCCCCTCCTCCCTCCTCCTCCTCCTCCTCCTCCTCCTCCTCCTCCTCCTCCTTCTCCCCCTTTCTCCTCCTCTTCTTTCCTCTCCTCCTCCTCCCTCCTCCTCCTTCTCCTCCTCTTCTCCTCCTCTCCTCCTCCTCCTCCTCCTCCTCCTCCTCCTCCTCCTTCTCTCCTCCTCCTCCCTCCTCCTCCTCCTCCTCCTCCTCCTCCCCTCTCCCTCCTCCTCCCCGTGTTCCCACCCTCCACGCCGTAGCCATTTTGGTTCGAGATCTGCGCCCTGGCCGCGCGGGCATGCGCGCGCACTCGAGGGCGTGCGCTCCGGCCGCAGAGATCCGCGGCGGCGGGCTGCACGGCTGCTCTCGAAGCGGCGGGGCAGCAAGAGGCCGCGACGGGGGGGCCTCTCGCCGGCGTGTGCGGCGCGCGCGGCAGGCTGCGGCGCCAGCTGCCGCCCTCCGCCGCGACGAGGAGCTGGAGTTTGGCGATCGCAAACATGGATCAAGGGGGCGTGGATTGGCGACGGGTCCCGTTTCTATGGGAAATCGCGAATTTCCCCGCCGAACGAGGCGGCACCGGCCACATTTTGGGGAGGGCACCTCCCCCGATCCGTGGATTTGGCGACCGCTAATCCATGTTTGCCCGCCCCCGATGGAGGGCATCGTCAAGTCGCTGGGGGAGCAGCTCGACGCGGAGAGCCGCAGCGCCGTTCCAGGCGCTGGCTGGTGAGCTGGTGCCCCGATTGGCCCCTTCGGCGCCCATCTTGGAGAGCGTCTTGGCAGGCACGCTGGCTGGGAAGGCGCCGCGGGACCAGTACAGACGGCGCGTCGCAACTCCGGCCTGCATTGCGCCGCCGTGCCTGCGGTGGCCGCTGCTGTCGCATCTCAACCGGTGCCTTGCTGTCGCCTGCTGCTGACCGCGTGCCGCGGTTGTCATCGCGTCGGCGGGGATGCCGCAGCTCAACCGGTGGCAACGGTGGGGGCGGGGTCGGCGGCTCGCCGCGCGGAGTCGAGGGCGTCGGCGCTCCCTCGAGCGGGGGCTCGCTCGCCGCCGCTTGCGGCGGGCGCGGGCGCCGTGCAGCCCGGCCGAGGAGGTCACGAAGGCGGATCCCCATGTGTTGGATCGGGCCGGGCGAAAGGGGGGGATTGGGAAAGGGGGGGGTACGAGATTTGCTACATGCAGCTGGTTTCGGCCTCACCGAGGGGCCCATTCCTCGACACGTGGGCGCCTCCCGGCGCCGGGAGGCGCCGGGAACATCAGCTGCGTGCGCTGATTCTCAACCCCCCCCTTTGCTATCCCCCCCTTTCGCCCGACCCGATTGGAGGGGAAAAAACACACAGACACAATTAATCGTCGATTTCCCAGAAAACATGGGAAAATATGGGAAGTGGGGGGGAAGACAGAAACCCAGAAAATATTGGAAAATATGGGGGATATGTTTATTTGTGTGTATTTATTTGTGTGTCCCAGTTCCCCTTCAGTGTTGGAGGATCTGGCGTCGGGCCCCAAGTTCTGGCCTAGGGCATGGGAGGGCGTTGGCCGCGCTGCCGTCGCGTAGGTCATGCCGTGCAGCAGGCCCCTGGAGGACACGCTTTGCACGACGGCGGGGTGCTCGTGGAGTCTCTCATCGGCGCGCCGGGCCCCGCAGGGTGTCAGGGCAGACATATTCAGGAGGGGAAAAAACACACAGACACAATTAATCGTCGATCCCCAGAAAATATGGGAAAATATGGGCAGTGGGGGGGAAGACAGAAACCCAGAAAATATAGGAAAAGATGGGGGATATTTTTATTTGTGTGTATTTATTTGTGTGTCCTGGGGCCCCTTCAAGGTGGACAAGCGCGCGGAGCAGGTGCGCACCGGCCAGAGACAGTAAAGGTTGGCGGGGTGTTGGGCTTGCCCGTAGTTGAGGTGGGAGCCAGCGAATCGCCGACGGCCCCCGAGGTGAAGGGTTGTGCCCTGCCTGGCGCGGTGGGGGCCGCACAAGCAACCCCCAGGGCGTCGCGCACTTCGAGAGGGCCGTGCCCGTGCACGGTTCGCTGCCGGAGGCAGCCGCCGCTGTCGTCTCCCTGCCCGTCGGGGTGGTGAGGTTCGGGGTGCTGCAAAGACAGACGGCGGAGAGCGCCGCGGCCTACGACCGCGACGTCGGCCGCGACATCCGAAGCCCTGGCCGGCGGGCGGCGGACGCTGACGCGAGCCTCCCAGTGCCCATGTCGGTGGAGGAGCGCCCTGCGGGGCTGGCCTGGGTCCAGGGCGGTGTTGGAAGCTTTGCCTCTCGGGAGCCTTGGGACGGGGGTCAGTGCAGACGGGGGTCAGCCAGGGCACCGGATCCTGCAGGATCCTGCGAAGACCCCCTCTGTCGGGGGCGGAAAAGAGGGGGGTGATGACTAGGGAGGGGTGGATATCATGGCGGGGGGCATGATATTTCCCCAGATTTCATGGCGCCTCTTCTTATTTCATTATGTCCCTGGCCCCCCCGCTGGGCCGCGCACATGCCGCGGGTCATGATTTGCACCCCCCCCTCTTGGACACCCCCCTCTTGGCCGCTCCCGACTCTGGCTGACCCGGGTTAGCGAGCCGCTCGTGGCCGCGAGGCGGCCGCGCCTATTGGCTGACCCGGGTCTGCGAAGACCTGCGTTGCAGTTTGTTTTCTCTGCATTGCAGTTTTTGGTTTCCTGCTGACCCGGGTCTGGATTGACCCGGGTCAGAAGATCCCCGAGCCTCGACGACGTTTGCGTCTGAGTCGAAGGCGAGGCCACGGCGCAGTTGATGTGACCTGGAGCCGCTCGGCGTGCTGTTGCTGGCGTGCGACGGGGGGAAGGGCGACAGTACCCTGTCAGGCCGCCTTCCCCCTCAGCATCTATCTCTTCTCTTCGATCTCGCGGTGCTGTTCGTTCAGTCGACGGACTTCGGCATCGCGGTCGGGGTGTCTTGGGTTGATCAGCCTCCCGCGTGTCGGCTTTGCGGACCTCTCCCCGATCTGTTCGGGGCTTCGCCCCGCATCTCGCGCAAACCAATACCATACCATACCTCCCCCCCCAACACTCCTGCCCATGTTGCCCTGTCCCCTTCTCCCCTTCCCCCTCCTGCACTCCTTTGCCCCTCCCCCTCCCCTACGCTCCCCTCGCGTTTCGCTCGTCCCCGCCCTGTCCCATCCGATGTCGTCCTCTTCATCCCCTCTCTCGCACTTTCCCCTCTTCTCGCTCACTCCACCCCGACCCGCCAGCGCGGGCCCCGCGTCTTACGAGGCACGAGTTGTTGTCTCGAGCTCCTCGCGCGAAGTCGAAATAGCTTTGTCCGATCAGAGTATTTCCGCGGCCGCCCAGTGCCCCACCTTCTCCGAGGCTCCGCCTTCTGCGCCGGCTCTCCCACTGCGCCCAGGTTCACCCTCTCTCCCATATGGTCATCCTTGCCAGTCCCGCCCCAAGCGCCATGAATATGAACTTTTGGCGCTCCGCCGCGGATTTCTCGGATCAGGGCTGGGCCGCCTCGGCGGCGCCTCGGGCGGCGCCACTGGCGCGCTCCGCGCGCCGGGGAGGGGGGGCCCAGCGCAGATCCGAGAAAGCTGCGCGGAGCGCCAAAAGTTGATGTTTATGGCGTTCTTGGTTCCTCTACTTGGCCCCGCCGCCCACCTCGCGCGCAGGCATCCGAACGTCGTTGAGCTGAAGCACGCCTTCTTCACATCGGAGGAGGGGGAGGGAGGCCGCGGGGGCGGGAGGGCCACGACGACCATTAAGTCGGGCGTGCCCCTATACACAGGGAATGTTCAGCAATAGTCATTATTATTGTTGTCGTTGCTGTTCTCCCTCTTCCTCTCATTATTAATGTTATTTTGTATAGAGTATGTTGGAATATGTTTGCCTATCTTTTATTTATCGTCCAAGCTCCGCCTGTAGGGGGACTTGCCTGACCTACGACGAGCATGGCGCCACGAGGACGAGAGCCTCTGAGAGGGGGGAGCAGTTCGACAGCTGCGCCAGAGGCGAGCGATCGGGAGCTTGATGGCACGCCTTGGGAACAGGGGGTGTGGGCGACCGATTTTGAGCTCAGCAGCTCTTCTCCACCAAATGCATGACGTCTGACGGCCTGAAGACTGGCACAACAGCACATTGGGCTCGAGTCGAGACCTGCTCGTCGTATAAGACACAGCGGCAGGCATCTGATGAAAGGTGTCGCTCAACTGCCTGCTGCCACTCTCACCTGAAGCAGGGAAAATGGGCGGGCAGCACAGATGAGCGTCAGTAACAGAAGCTGGCAAGGCACCAGCTCGCAAGTCCGCGGCCTCGCACGTCAGGGCACTTCCACCTCCAGGAGGGAACCTGGCCTGCGCGCGTGCGGGCTCGAAGGAAGATGCCGCGGCCGAAACTGGCAGAGAGTCACCAAGCAGATGCCGAGAGGCCTCATCCTCCACATCGAGAGGATCAAGGGCGAGCTCGGTGACACTCTCGCCTCCCCAATCGGGTGGAGGGAACATGGGCACCGAACCGTTGGCCGCAGCGGCCGACGGCTCAGAGATACGAGGTGCTTCCGCGCAAGTCCGAGCTGACTTGCCACACGCCGCAGCGGGGTTGGGAGGCATCTAATCACAGCCAACATCAGAAGCAACGAGACTGGCATGAGCGGCACGCCTGGCGCAGCTGATAGCAACGGCAGCAACACGAGGCGCACTGGCAACATAATTGAAGCACTGCATGAGATGTCCCGTGTGGACTCGGATTCCACGCTTACTGTACTGAGGGTGACGACCTTTGTTATACAATTGGTTCTAGCCGGTGCGCCTGGACTTACAGGGGCCCAGGCAACGCTTCCCAAGGCCACGAACGCTGGCACCAGTGGAGTAACAGTAGCATTTAGTGCACATGAACAGACAATCAGAGGCAACGACACTGTGATTGAGAGCATCCAGCCTGGAAGCGTGAAGCTTGGTGAAATTGGTACAGCGACTGGGATCAGGACACATGGTCGACCGCTTTCCCTTTAGACGAACCTCACAACGCCAAAGCCCCGCCCACGGACGCCACGTACGCATGGGACCAGGAGGGGCAGGAGGGGCCTGTAAGCGTTCGACGTTGGCAAGGTCCAGGGGTTCCCATCGATGGGCCAACCTAGCAGCAAGCCTGAGCGCGCAACGGGCGGCGCGAACCATCTTTTCAATAGCTGGTAACGCATGCTCGTCACACGGATGCAAGTTGACAGCATGTTTCGCGCCGACATCCGCATGATGATTTCCCACCCGCCTCCACTTCTCCCGACTATCAACGCCGACCTCGTCGGCATCCTTGCAAGCGGCAAACTTCTCACACGGCAGGAGGGAGGAGGAGGAGTAGCACTGGAGGAAGGCACCAGCGTGCACACGCTTGCCGGACAAATGAGACGAGCGAGGTTCATTTGCCAATTTCACCACATTCGAGCAATCCGAAAAAGCCTGGGAGTGACCAGGAAGGCTTAACATGTGCCCAAGTGTAGGCCGAGAACTCAGATCCCTGCGGCGTCTGAGGATACGGGGCCCACACAGGAGCACGAACTTCCGCCACAAGAGAACCGACGTCATCGACCATAGCTACACAGGAGCCATCTCGACTGAGCTCACGGATGGGATGTCTATAGCACGAGCCGTCAATGAAGAGCGAGCCCTAAACCGGTGGGCGAGACCTGATCACGCGCATGCCACGCAAGGATAGGACCGTCAGTGTGTTCCGTGGAGGGGCCAGGGTACGAGTCGGCGGGATGAGCGGAAGCTCCTAAGGTAAACACCAGGAGGTCTTCGCCCAACTCGTCAGCCTTGAGCGCCAACGCTAGATCATCTTCCTGCGCCTCTTCCTCCTTGGCAGAAGTGGCCGAGGAATGAGAGCAAGACCGCAACCTGTGAAGCAAAGTGTCTGGCTTGCCACGCAAGAGGCATGCGATGTCAGCCCGATAGCCCAACTTGAGCGCCCGCCCCCGAGTGGTAAAGGCCTCGGTGGCCAGAGCGCGGATTCTATTCTTTTCCAGGGGGGGGTGAACTTCTTACTGGCAAGAGACTCCGTCACAATGTCGAAATACCACCTACGAGACACACCCCTCTCGGCGGCCGCATTTTTTTTTCTCTCTCTCTCTCTCTCTCTCTCTCTCTCTCTCTCTCTAGAGAGAGAGAGAGAGAGAGAGAACGGAGATGGACTTCGTGTCATAGCCTCTAAATTAATGAGGGGGACACGATGCCAAGGTGAATGGTAAGACCTCAATCATCCTGAACGGTCATAAAGTCAATCATGGCCCAGCCGAGCCGAGAGACAGACATGCGCAGAGCCGAAATCGGACCAGCAACGCTGCGCCACGAGCAGTTGTCCGAGCTAAAAACAGAAACACAGGCACGGCGGAGTTCAGGCAAACCGATAGACCACTCGAACTGGGGCGCCTGGGCAAGCCACACCTCTTTCGCCCAGCGAATGATGGGCGAACGAGCTATGCGCCAGCAAGGGTCCCCGTCTAGAGTGGCCGTGGCGGTGAGCGAACGCAATTGCGAGTGAGGGCGAACAGTGCTAAAGAAGCGACGGCGAACGGGAAACAATTCATGATCCGAAATGCCTGAGACCTCACTCCCATAGCTCACGCCGGCAAGAGGGCCAGCTGAGAGACAAACAAAACGAATGCTGGCACTTCTCTTGAGCACCTTATTCTGTCAACGCAGCCGAGTGGCTTTCCCGCTGGCAGCCGCGATCCCGGCCTTGAGCTTGGCCGCGCGGCCTTGGACTCTGAGGGCGCGACTAGCCGTGCAGTCGGCGACTTAGTTCAGAGCGGTAGAAGAACTCACAGGGCAAAGATCAGAAAGTTGTGCCGAGATTTGATCTCCAACGCGCTTCGAAGAGGCAGCGATGGCAGTCTTGTCCGTCGCGAAACTGCAGCCTAAGACATCCTCAACAATAGAGTGCATGTTGCGAGCATCAGAGACAATGCTGGAGATCGCAGTTTTGGCGGGACCAGTGGCCGTGAGGCCTTGATCATCAATGTACGCATCTAAATCGAGATCGGGCTGGGATAATAACCGGTCGCATCCTTCCACCCCGTGCACTCTGAGGGTGGTGGCAAACGAACGCCCAGCACTGACCCCCCTGCCTGCGTAGTTAGGGCCCTGTATAACTCCTCCCAGACAGAGAGCATGCCCACGCCTGTGCGCGAACAAGCAGAGGCGAGTCAGCGCAGGAGGGAAACCATGCCGATGACAGCGAGCTTCCAGCTCGACGAGGCTGATCGCCTCGTAAGTTTTGCGAAGGTCGAAAAGAATAGCGCGGGAGCTCTGACCTTCAGCACTGCCGCCTCCATCGTTGACGGCTTGGCGCCAGACGACGTCGGCTGCCCATCGATTCTGGTCAGCAGCCCGGTACCTCCTGGGGCGTTGCTGTTCCCAGGCAAGGGCGAGGGGCCGTCTGAGACGCCCCAAAACCCCGTGCCAGGAACAGAACACCCCAATCGGTCCGTAGCTGCCACTAGGCTTCGACAGCAGAACTAACAACAAGACAGAGATCTGAGGAGGGAGAGCACCCAAGGCTTCCATGAGCGAGAGAAGCATACTGAAACAAGTGAGAGCCTGGTCATCCGAAAGATGAAAGTGGCGACAGTAAAAACCATCAAGAGACACAGCCGAGTCCTTTTTGCATCGCTTAGAGGCCGACCTGATGTCTTCAATTGGGATCAAAGGAAGGGGCTCAACAAGAATGCCCGGAGGGCGAGCCCATTCCCCATGCCCCATAACGAAGCACAGCGATCACCTTCAGCTTTGAGCAGCGACAAGGGATCCGACGCCGTGCAGCCCCGAGCAGAGCGGGTGGACGTCGGGGTCCATGGGGGCGGGCTCCGAATAATCTGATGCGCGCGCTTCGAGCCAGAATCGATGCCAACATGCAGCCAGGCAGACCAGTCGTCTCTCGACTCCTGACCGAAAGACCTGGCGGCCGCGCCGAGCTCGCTCCTGACCTCAGTCGCAGAAACTTCTAGGTCTGAGCAGGAGACCGACTGAGCTGAGGCGCGGGCGGGCTCGGCAGCGCGTCCAAAAAGAGAGGCTCGAGCACCAACAGGATTGGCTATGGCAACGGTGGAGCAGCAAGTAACATGCCCTGCACGAGCGCCTGGCGGTCGCGGCCAAGGCGCCTGGAGAGCACGAGCGCACGCCGCTGTGCACCAGGCCACTTGGTGGCGCGAAACTCGGTGTGCTCGGCGCGGCCTTCACCTGACAACATCGAACGCCAAACGAGCTGGAGGCCCAGACATCCCGTGCCACGCTAAGTGGTTTCCGCCCCCAAAATCGGAACCAAGTCTTTCTCGGCATGATTGGCCCGCGCTTGATACAGAGGCCCTAAAAGCTCAAGAACCCCCTGATACCCCCCCTCTCTTCACCCGACTGAAAGGTCCCCCAGCGGCGCCCAGCTCGCGGGCCCACGAGGCCGCATCAAGACGAGGGCCGAACGCAGGTTCGACGGGAAGAGGGGGGGGGGGGGGGGGCACGACCAGCGAGAGCCTGAATACTAGAAAGTTGAGGAACGAAACGAAGGCAGACAGGGCGATGAGGCGACAGCGAAGCTGACCAGTCAACCTCGCGCGAGCGGACATCCATCGCAAGACCTCCAGAACACACGAAGTAATCACAGGCGTTGGCCGTGCCAGACGGAGAATGCGCGCGCGTCGAAGGGGGCGCCACAGCACCGCGCAGCTCATT